TCTAGAGCCCAGACATTAGAAAACAGTTTTGTTAACTTTGAATGAATCGACAAAACAAACTAATACAGGATTTAATTGCAAATTTATTTAATTTAGAAACTGTAAAAAACAAAGAAATTATTAAAAATAAATTGATCAGTAAATTAGGATACTACTAAATAATAATTATAAATTTACTAAAAGAATTAAAATTTATACAAATAAACATTATTATAATAAAATATAGTTTATATGAGGTTTAGTAGTTTTATATTTATAATCTAATTAAACATGAATTATGAAAAAACTATATTAATTGAGTCCTGGTACTGACGCAATCAGTGTGAATAACTATACTATTATATCTGTACTTTTCAATCGGAAAGGGTCGCAAAAGTAAGCCTATACTTGTCCGATCTTTCCGATTGATAAGTATAGATATAATTTTAAAAATTAAACAAAATACACTGGTAAGTTGTTTTCAATTAAAAAAAGTATAATCATTTTAATTTTTAAAAGCAATAACTTTATATTAATATCGATATATAAAAATATTTGTTATTTTATAATTACAAAATTGAATGATAAGCATTATTCTACTATATAAGTCTATTACTGTAAAACATCATTTATTCAATTATTTGCTAGAATATACTTGAAGTAATAGTTAGTATTACAACTATAATACTGTAATACTTTTATTTAAAACAATAAAAATGGATATGATTTACGGATTAATTGTTTTAGCTATTACATTGATATCGATATACATTTATTGGTAAAAACTTTAATAATTATAATACAAATATACTTATAAAACTATGAATAATTAATTTTAGGACAATTTGGCGTAAAAATGATTACTGGTCTAAACAGGGTATTAATGGTCCCAAACCTATACCAATATTTGGCAATATTATCAACACGCTGCTTTCGAATCCAAGGGAACGTTTACTTGGCTATCAAAAAAGATATGGCAAAATATACGGGTAAACAGGGTAAAATTTTAAACATACACATGTTACTATTGTATATTCTAGCCATTACATGGGAAACACACCGGTGCTAAGGATCACAGACCCGGAGCTAATTAAATTAATTCTGGTGAAGGACTTTCACATGTTTGTCGACCGGGACATAGTATGGGCCGCGAAAAGCTATATCCGTACCCGCAATCTGAACCAACTATCCGGCGACGACTGGAAACGTGTCCGCTCTATCGTAACGCCTATTTTCTCGTCGGGAAAAATGCGGCGAATGTACCCTCAGATTAAGCAATGTTTGACGTCATTCATGAAGTACTTGGACGTGCTGGGTGAAAATTGCCAAGAATTAGACATGATTGATACGTTTAGCAAGTATTTGCTAGATGTGAATGCCACTACCATTT